AATTATAGCTTTGAGCTGACAATGAACATATAGGGCTTTTCTTGTAAATTCTATAACTTTGCAAAGAAAGGTCGTGTAGAGCTGGGAGATGTCTCATTTTAATCAGACATTTGCGGTCTACAATCATGCTTCATTAAGAAAAGTTTTGGTTATCCTTTAGAGTTTCTGAAAACCGGATCTCCATACGATTAAGGGCAGCTCCCATAATCATATTCGGAATCAGCATGGTCAATAACCTATAACCCACTAGATTTCGATCAAAAAGCGTTTTATCACCTCGAGAGGTTCCCTCGTTAGCTAATAAACTGTATAGTAAGTTAAGATTTTTAATTATGAAAAATAATTTATGTATCATTAGAGTGGTAAAAATCAGCATATAATTGATTTCAAGGTGAGTTTAATTTTCTCAATAATCGAAAAATGCACTAGACCTTTCAACCTACCCCATTAACAGAAACCACTCCAGTGATTAACATTTCATCGACACTCAATGCAGCCACCATGGCAATAACATATTGTAATAATTGATTTTTATACGATAATGCTAACATTTTTCCATAACGTGGATTTACAGGAAAACTTGATATTAATTGTCCAAGTTCAGTTATTCGATTTATTTTCAATTTATCTAGATGTTAATTAAAACTAAAGATAGATATTGATGAAAATGATTTTTGAATATTTTATCTACCTTTACTGGAAGACTTTTGACTAGTTTCAATAGTTTCCAATGCTCCTAAATTTAATAGCAATTTTTCAGCAGCATAAATTGATTGTTTATCCGGTGGAGTTGGAAATGGAAAATTTTCAATATGATCAATATTCAATGTTTTTAATTGTAATACAAGATCTTCAACAGGTTTATGAGCAATTTCAGGTGATGAATATATTTCAAATTCATCGTTGAACACAGCGGAGGAATATAAACGATAACCTTGGCAAAAAAAACTAAATGAAAATATAATAGAGAAAAACTGTCAATTGCTTACAATGGCCAGGTGCTGTACGTCCAGCTCGTCCTGAACGTTGATTTGCTCCTGCTTTCGATGTCCACACAATGCGAAATGTTGATACACCGGTTAATTTATCATAAAACTTCATTTTAACCTTGAATAAATGACAAAGTATTGATGATTAATCACAGAAAAAAAAAAAAAAATGACCAAACATTACCTTTCCACAATCTACAACATATTTGATAGATGAGATGGTAATCGATGTTTCAGCAACATTTGTAGCAACCACACAAAGACGACAGCCAGCTGGTGGTGGTTGAAAAACCTTTAAACAAAAACATCAAGTAGATAGTTGATATTTTGTTTACATCAGATCTGATGACGGTACATACTCGAGCTTGTTTATCAGATGGTAGTAAAGCGTATAATGGTAATACATATAATGGTTCAGTGACATTGAAAACATTCTAAGAATAGAACACAACTGTGTGACAGTACTATGTCTTCAACAGCGGGCATCTTACTTCATGTTGATGTTCATCATCATCATCATCATCGTCACTGTGAAGTGAGCCTTCACGTTGTTCATCATTATCCTCAGCATCCGATTGAATTTGTTCAAGTTCTTCATCATCCGGCAACACAGAATAGCTGAAAGAAAAAACTTCATTAATCAACAAGATAAAAGAGATCATTCACAAAACAAACTTGTTTAAATCAATATCAGGAATATCTTTCAATGTTGTTTCCTTTGGTTTCTTTTGTTTTCTCTGTCTTATTTGTTTAGTTTTGGGTAAAAATTGTGGTTCATCTAAAAGAATAATATCATAGAAACACAATTGAATCGTAATCAGTTTATAATTTATTTACCCTGATTTGAATTTTGTGTTTTAAATGGAAATGCTCGTTTTAATTTCGTACACAATTGCTTAACTTCTTGTTGACCAGTAACAAAGACCAATATTCCACCAGGTGGTAATTTTCGATGAATTTTACATATCTACAAGAATATAATAAAAATTTTAAAAATTTTCTTCAATAATTTTTATTTATTTTTATTTTTACTTTTTTATATGATTCTTGAATATAATCTTTGAATGTATGTTTATTAAAATGAATGCTAACTGGATATTGTCTTGATTCAATATTAATTATTTTTGGTTTTACTTTGAATAATGTTTTATTTTCAATAAAATCTTCAATTCTTAATGTTGCTGACATAATAATTAATTTTAATGGTTGACCGTGTTTATATCGAATAGGAACAATGCGTGATAGAAAACCAATTAAAACATCGGTATATACACTACGTTCATGTGCTTCATCAATTATAATACACGAATATTTTGTTAATAAAAAATCATTTTTAATTTCTTTTAATAGAACACCATCTGTCATAAATTTAATTTGAGTTTGATTAGTTGTTGTACCTTCGTAACGAATTTGATAGGATACTTCACTATACAAAATAATTTAATAGAAAATAATCATCAGTTGTATAATTTAGATCTATTTTATTTTACCTTTTACTCAAATTTAATTCTTCACCAACTCTTGCCGCCATTGTTGTAGCTGCTACACGTCTTGGTTCAGTGACACCAATTATTTTTCCCGTCGATGTATAACCAGCTTCATATAAAAATTGCGGTAATTGAGTAGTTTTTCCTAAAACACAAGTAAGTCAGGGTATAATGTTTGAATTAACATGAATTCTTCACATTTTGGTTATACTCTCACCACTTCCTGTTTCACCACATATAAGTACCACAGAATTTTCATTGATTGCTTCCATAATTGATTGTTCTTCGTTAATGATAGGTAATTTAGAACGAACGGACTATAGTAAAAATAAAAATATGATTCATATTGATTACAATCGTTTTTTTTTAACGTATACCTACCTGAATCTCTTCGGTACGATTAACTTGAACATGAACATTTGGATTAGAATTTGTCAATATAATTGCTGGTTTATCTTCATCATTTTCGTCATCTTCATCAAATCGACGTTTTTTGTTAATTCGTGTATCCTCCTTTTGTATAATCACTGGTGCCGGTGTTACATCACATTTTAATGCTCGTTTTAAATCTTCATCATTGATTTCCGTTTCTACTTGATCATCATCATCGTCACTGCTCGTTGCGCCATTCAGTTCTTGACTAGGCAAAAAAATATGCACATAAAAAAGAGCTAAAAATACAGGACGTCTCTCCATGTATAACTAAAAATTTACCGTATTGTTGATTTAAGCTTTTTATTTACCTTATTGTTTCATCAACATTATCAATTTTTTTTGACACTACTCGTTTTTTCCTGCCGAAAATGATCGGCACATTTTCTGATATTGTTGTATTCTTGTCAACGGAGTCATATCGTTTTCTACGAAAGAGAAAAAAGTTTTGTAAATTATTTTTGATATTTCCTCTATAATTAATCAATCAATCAATCACCTTTTTGGTTTTTCTCCAATTTTTTTAATTGAATGTAATTGAGCTAGTTCGGTTGGTTTTATTTGTACATCACCCAATTTTTTCAATAATTCAATACGCTAAGGAAAAAGAAAAAACAATCTGGAGTATATATGTTTAGTCTTTTCGTTTTCATCGCCTACATTTGCCTTCTTTTCTTTTAGTTCAATAATTTTTTCTAAACGTTTTCGTTCTTTTTTTGATAATTTACGTTTTTTTAAATTTTTATCATGAATAATTTTTGTTTGACGTTTTTTCGATGGTAATACAAATGGATTTTGTTCATCAGTTGTTATTGTTATATTATTATTTTCAACACTTTCAATTGCCACCTAGACGAAAGGAAAATAAAATATTTGTATGAAAATTATTAATGAAGAATTTATGCCATAATTACATTAGTTGTTGGCTGTTGAATAACAACAGTTTTTTGTATACGACCCTTTTTATTATAACGTCGAAATAATCGTGATTTTTTCATTTTCTACAAAAACAGACAAAAATTTATGTATACATGAAAATCAACGAAAAATAGACCCTTCAATTTCCCACAAAATGGGATGCTGGTCAATTTTCTACGGAAAAAAAATAAATTCATTCGGTTTAATGCCGAATTTTTGATCTGTATCGTATTTTCTATTGCACTTATTGACATAACGTCGTAGAAACTCGGCCGGCATCTCATTTTGTGAAAAACTGAAGGGGCTATTCAATAATATGGTTGAAAAACTTCTGAAAGAAATTTTTAAATCATTCGGTTTTCTAGAAAACCGGGTTTTTCAGAAATCTCTATCTCAAGACCCCGAGATGTAGCATAACTTTTCATCGAAATATACAGAATTCGATGCGCTCTTTCATTTGATATCACTTTCAAAGTTCTACGTTAGAGAATGTGGTCAGCAGACGTTCTACAAGTTACGCCAAATCCGTCGGAAAATGTCGAAAATGCATTTTTCCGCTCCGAGGGTAAATTAACTATAACTTTTTTCTAACAAGACCAGAGACTTGCGGTTTCCGCCAATAGATTCAGCTTGCTGAGCTCTATGATATGAGGTAGGTCTCGCCATTGATATCAAAGGTCGATGTAAATAATGGTAGGTTTTATATGGATTGAGCCTATGCCGAAAACATTATTCTTCATTTGAATTACCAACCATTTTGTAGAGTTTTGAAAGAGCTTTTTTCTGATGCAAAATGTAGACCACAACCTAAGTTCTTTCACGGTGAAAAAATAGAAATATTATTGCTGACTATGCTGAAAAGGTCATGTTTTAAAAGGAATATTAAAAAACGTCGATGTTCACAGTGTACATGACAATTGAGCAATAGATAGTTTTATTCATCGCGTAAAGCTGCATCGGATGGTATATAAAACTTTCCTTCAAACTTATTTTATCCTAAGAAAAGTACCAAAAACACATAGCAATCTGTTTGCGGAGCTATTGTTCAAAGGTAATCGATTTTCTTACAGGTATCAACTTCGACGGGAAACCAGGAGTCTAATATGCTCTTTCATTCTGGGCACCTTTTGAGAAAATTTGAAATGGGATCGATTCTCGTTCTTTCTTGCACCTCGTCCTTATTGTATGTAATTCTAAACAATTGTAAGTATCACTCTTGAATTAATTTCAACGAACATTTTAGTGAACATTATTGCCCGATTTCTCTTCTATTTTTTCTTTAAATAAAACACAAGATCATAAGTTAGAATAATAATAATGATAATAATAATAATAACGCATATACAAAATAACGCCGTTTATACATAGTTACAAAAAAAAACAGACACGCGAAACAAATAAAAATTGAACTATTTTGCAATCTTATCATCCGCGAAAAGATAGCAACAATCCGAATAAATTCCATCAAAGAAAAAATAATAATTCTTGAATAAAAAACGGATAAAACACATATGTGAATATTTTTACCGTTGTGAGTTTTTTGTATTAAGATGCATGAAAAAAAAATAATAGAAGAATAAGTTCATTACTGTTTGTTTGGATACAGGGAAGACAAAAAGGATTATTTACTAATGCGACAAATTGAAGATAGAAAAACATATGGAATATTAGACGAATATGTTGAATCAATGGCACTATGGTTTTCGTCTTTTTCCTGATGTAAACAAAATAAGAATATCTGACATGGTTGTACGAAATATAACCGGTTCGTCTTTTTTTTTTACGATGAAAGACTGTAATAATCATCAATAAACAGATTAATTTGGTGATGTTGTTGCACCTGGAGCAATGACGAGTTTTTCATTATTTTTTGTTTTTGTTATTGCCAATGGAGTTGTGGTTGGAGCCGGTGCACCAGCTGCCGTTTGTGTTGTTGGTGCTACTTGTTCTTTTTTTGTAGCGGTGGTCGATGATGGTATTTGTGTCTTACTTTTATTTTTTCCAACTTGTGCTTTATCTTTAGATTTTAATAATAATTGTTGCTGTGCTGATTCTTCAAGACTCTCTCTCATTTCATTTTCTAATTTTTGTTGAACTAACGTATCAGAATGAATTGGATCCGAACGCCAATATGTAAATGCACTATACGTTTCACTGCATGCATGATCCATAGGAGGAAATATAAGATCGACAACTTCGTGTAAATTACGATAACTAAATTAAGATAAATATTTTTTGAGGTAATATTTTAAGTAAAAAGTCTATCTTTGCTAATCAAAGACAAGTGAGAATCTCTACTTGTGTTTGTTCTTCAAGTACAAAATACTTACGATGATTGCAGAGCCTGAAGTTTTTGTCGGACAACTTCTCCACGAGGATTAATTGTAAATATACGCGTTAAAGGTATTCCAACGGCAGTATAAGCCCATTGATCCTAAAAAAGAGAAAAAAAACTATTAAAATATTTTTTCTGTACGTTTCTTCGATCGATCACTTACGTTAATACGATTTCCAAAGCCGGCATAAAATGGATTCTTATCGGGAAACAGACTAGCTATATTTTTCAAACATTCTATTTTGAATTCTTCTGGTTTTTTTGCAATAACTTCTCTGAAAATAAAAAGATCCATCGTAAGATATATGCGGATCTATTCATGTGTGTATTAGTAATTGTTACCTGTACAGAGCTGTCATTAAAGAATCTGGTGAAATAAGTAATGGACCAGGTGGTAATGAACAACCACACTGTTTAATATTTCTTAAAAAGTCACGTGTAATACGTGATTGACCAATAGCTCGAGCTGATAAGTAAACGAATTGATAACCATTCTCTTGTATTGCATTGAAAAATTCAGCAATACCATCATGTGACCAATCTTTACCAACTAATGGAAGAATTTGTCCAAGAGCATCGGATCTAAATAAAGTATCAATATGAGAACAATTTCAAATCTTTCTAGTATTCGAAAAATTGATGATATCTTTTCAGCGATTTATCAGCTTGTAATATCTTGATTAGAGTTGCTCATATGCATCCATTAGAAAGAAGGCAAATTTCTATAAATAAGAGAAATTTTACCTTGTTATTGTTCCGTCGATATCGGATATGACAAATTTTGTTAAATAATCGAACAAAAATATATATGATTCGACAACCGTTGTACCTTGCAAAGCTGTTGTAACAGAAAATTGTATTTTATTCATTCCCAATTTTAAGTTTAACTTTTTTAATTGATCGGATGATAATATCATTTTTTTACGTCCAGTCGATTGTTGGTGGCCTAATTTTGGTATTGCATGTTGTGGTTGTTGTTCTTGATCTTGTACCTGTTGACGATTTGCCGCTGCTTTCTCTTCAATATCAGCTGTAATCTTTGTCACTTCATTATCTTCCAATTCACTATCATCAGCTTTTCTTTAAATAAAAAAAATAATAAAAATATAATTAATTAGTTAGAAGACACAAAATTCGTTCAGTGTATCTCGAAAGAAGAAGTCGTATGTGAATTGAAAAAAGAACGATACTTACGATATACTTCTCATTTTATTTGTCCCATCAAATGACTGATTACTCTTAAGACATGGCTCCATGTCCGTTGACGATGTAAGCTGGTCGTTTTTATTCCTTTGTGTTGTATTACCCGTTATTGTTTTTGTTGAACTATCAACTGGTGTTTCAGCCTATTATTAATATAAATCATCACAAATTACTCGAAAAACCAATCATCTATGCAAACTTCTACATTACTTTTTTGCCCCACGACCACCATCCTCTTCGTTCACTTGTATATATCGGTTTTGTTGGTTCTTGAGTCATATGTTTTTCTTGTAGTGTATCAATGGTTTCTTGTGGTAATTTCTGATGATAAATACTTGCAGCGGCCATTATACGAGATGCAACCGCCCAATTATAATACCTAAATGATGATGATATTTGTAAATATGAAATTATTTGTGGAAGACGAGGGAGTAGCATAAGCACAGCAGGATACGAAGTTGAAAAAGATTCAAACTTTGTCTCATAAAAGCGGAATATTTTTGTTTTATAAAGTTAGCAGACTGAAAATTGTCAAATTAACGTTAATCTATAGTAAGAGTATTATAGATGATAGAATTAATTTAATTATCGTCTTTTTTTCTCCTAAACAGATGAAATCTCACTGTCAAAAGCTATCACACCAACATACTTTCCATTCATTCTCACAACTAAATTTGGATCATTAATCACATTTGTGTTAGTTATAAATTGTTCATAGCTGATAAAATGTTTGTTAAATAAATCATCATTTATTGTTAATTGTTTACTTATATTTCCACACAACGATAATTGAACATCGCCCAACATACACCTATACACGCAAGCAACAAGCAAAAGCAATAAATGCGTGAAAACGCGCTAATAGTAAAAATAAACAACGCTTACGATGTTTCGTGTTCACGAAAAGGTGATTGTGGCATAGAATAACCTTTGCCAGAGTCCTGATCATCTTCTGGACGACGATTTTGCTCTCTGGAATGAAAATATACCGTAGTAAAAAAATAAATACATTAATTTTCAAAAGTTTGATAAAAAAAATACTTACAATTTTGGTAAATAGAGTGATGGATCACATCGATTACTTCTTATATCATCTAAGTACATATCTCCTGGTGATTTTTTTGATGAACCAAACCAAGATAAAACACCACGTCGTTTTCCTAAAAAAAATATTTTGTTATCAATCGGTTTCATATTTATTTTGAATTTTCTCTCACCATCTTGTACTTGAGGTTGTGTTCTTATATCTTTTGGTCTCTCAGGTAATTCACCCCATTTCCATTGCCATTCTGATTCAGATGAATCAACTTTATTCACTGATTTTTCTAATTCATATTCAGTATCAGATTTTGGACTCGTTGGACGAGGAGATAATGGACTAACATATATTTTAAACGTTATACAAACATATTATTATTCTTTATCAAAAGTTTATACCTGTCATATCTTGGCGAAAAATCTCCATTAATATAATATGATTGCCTTGATTGATCTAATCTTATACTATTCGTATTTATATTTATTGGCGATGATGAAATGTACTCTGAATTATCAGTAGGTGCCGATTTTGACAGTAAAGTATCTATGATAGACATTGATGAATTATTCGTAAGTTTTGGTGTTGAATGATTTTGTATGGGTGATTGTGATCCTTCATTCTGTTGTAATGATGGAAAATTGATGGCTATTGGATTAGATGCTGTTCGACTCGTTTTCATATCTGCAATATTTAAATCAACATCATCGTCGTCTATTTGTTCAGATTCTGTTTGATGTTCTTGTTGTTGTTTATAATCATTTGAATCTGTTGTGGTTTCTATGTTTGCTACTGTTTGAAATAATATTTTTCTGGAATCAATACTATTTAATCTACTCACTGCACTCAAAGCATCAACATATTGTAACGATATATTATCTTCATCTTGGAACGAGCTATTTCTTTTAACGTTAGTTGGTGTTAGATCATTTTCAACATCTAAAGGTTCGACAGGTCTACAATATCAAAGAAAATCAATTTAATATTTCTTTTTATACAGATAAAAGCAAAACTGAATAAAATAGCTGAAACTAATATATCAAACAAAACTCACATTGTTGATGTCGGTTGTTGCTGTTCAACATCTTCTGTCGACGGTTTCAAATCTTGTTGCGATTGTTGTTGTTGATTTTTTTGTAAAAATTCAAGTAAATCATGACTTTGTAAAATATTTAAGTCATTTTCACTTGAACTTTTTCGTATGAAATGTTTCACATGATGAACATTTGCTAAGTGTGGTGTATGTAAATCACTAATAAATTCATCGCTATAATAACCACCACCGGAACTTAAGTCAGTATTATTATCAGAATACTGACTTTTTTTATTTATAGATAATTTTTTTTTTCGTAGTGTTGTTGTTTTCGATGATTTTTTTCTATGCGTTGGTGGTAAAAAACGTTTTTGATTTGCAAATAAAAATTTTCCAGCACGTTGAAATAAATTGAAGAGATCAGCAGTTGTTGTTTCTAAATCAATTTTACATTCGGCAGTTTCATTTTTAATTTGTCGATCAAATTCATCATCATCGCTACCATCACTAAAGAAGATAAAAAATTATATTAACTGCGTGAATTGTACATAATTGTGCAACATTTTGGTTTGAAGAGAAACGTCTGCTATGTAGCTTTATGCCTATGAAAATAGTTCTGAAGATAAATATGTCAGAAATATAAATCCCACAAAGCTCGGTGATTGTAGATATAAAATAGTTTAGTAATTAAAGATTGTTCAAACGGGGTGTGTGTGTGTGGCATATGAGTGTGCCTCATTTGAGTGCGTTGCATTTTAGTGCGTGTTTTTTTAGCGCGTCTCATTTGAGTGTGCCTCATCTGAGTGCGCTCCCATTTAGTGCGTCTCATTTGAGCGCATTCTCATCTTAGTGCGTCTTATTTGGGTGCGTATTTTTTTTCGATTTTCCATTAAAAAAGACAAACGCTAATGGTAATAGTTTATCATGGAATAGACCGAAAAATGAGAATAATTTCGTAAAAAGGTGTTCCACCAGCCTGTGGACGTTGGTGCAACTTTAAAGTTGCCATCAACATGGACTTCTGTAGCATTAAACAACAACCGAAGCCCGTGTTATGTCGCGAGTACCACATATCCTGAACGGGAAATTAAAGCATTTAAGAATAAGAAAATCGAAAGGTTTTCTCTTACCTGAACTTTGAACTTATAAGAAATTTTCTCCTGTACACAATTTTCCATATTTATCCGGAATACAAAGATTTCGCAACGATGTTGGTGTCGGTGGTTCATTTTTATTTCCTTTATGTCAATATAATGTAGACCTAAGACTTTCAAAACTGAGTATTGCGGCTGCTATTTGTGGATCAGTGATAACTTGACTAGATGCTTGAAAAGCAGCGTATGGAAGTTGATGCTCACATCTTTTTTTCATATCAACAACTTTTTCAACAGCAAGTTTTTCTGGATCTGGATCGGGCAAATGTGAAGTTCCTTTGAGAAGACGTGCGTTTTATAGATTTAAGCTTCTTTTCATTATAATAAGAGTTACTTACTCAAATCTGGTTTTATATGATCTTTAGTGTTAAGACGACCAGAACAACCATATTCCCGACCTTTCCATGAGATCGATTCTTTTTGATGACGTTCAATTCTATAACTATATTCTTCAAATTAAACTGCTGGTTTACCACGGTCTGATTCGGATATTTCAACTTTAGCCATATTTCTTGACTTAGAAAAGAATAGATCAGACGATGTACAAAGAAACAGTGACTGCTATACGAGTTTTGTTGAATGCAAATTAAAAAAGTTTTTCGATTACAGATACATGTGTCGTATCTGAATTTTAAACAAAAGGGGAGTAAAACACATATCTACGTTTACATATTCTCTAAACCATTATGCATTGTGAAAGGATTAATTTGACCCAGACACTTTCAAAATCTATCAATTTGAAAAATGCACTCACATAGTAGTCAGTCATCGTCTCTTTTTACATGGTAAGATCTTCTGTTTTCTAAGCCAAGCAATATGACTAAAGTTGAAATATCCGACACAGGCCTTGGTAAACAAGCAGTTCAATTTGAAGGATATAGTTATGGAATTGAACGTCATCAAAAAGAATCGATCGCATGGAAAGGTCGGGAATATGGTTGTCCTGGTCGTCTTAACACTCTTAAAGATTATATGAACCAGATTTGAGTAAGTAACTCTTATTATAATGATAAGGGAGCTTCTTTCTATAAAACGCATGTCTTCTTAAAGGAATCCGCATTCGCACGGCCGACTGTTACCAATATCGTTACGAAAACTTTGTATTCCGGATAAATATGGAAAATTGTGTACAATTAAAAAAAGAGAAATTTTCAGGAGAAAATTTCTTACAAGTTCAAAGCGCGGATAAAAGAGAACTTTTCGATATCAATCAGGCCTTATAAAATAGTCTTCAAAATATCGATCTGCAGCAAGAGTACGTGGATGGTGTTGTTCAAAAATATTGTAGGCTACGCTATTTCTTTTTTTACTATAAAAGATTACTAACCACTGAGAATTAATTTCAAACACTGGTGACGGAAACAATTCAAATGTTTAAAATATTTTGAGGAATGAGTTGTGTAATTGAAAACGCACTCAAATAAGACGCACTAAACTGGGAGCACACTCAGATGAGAACGCACTCAAATGAGACGCGCTCAAGTGAAGCCCCACCGTTCAAACAGTTTGTTAAAAAAAAAGTATTCATATTTTTTTTCTTGGTGTTTTTTGCTATGCAAATATACGAAGTAAACATTTCTTTACAAAATAAAATGTTTCTCAAATCTTTTTAACTAAACTATAAAAATCTGTTATGAATGTTTCAAAAATTACTGATAAAAAAAGAATTAAGAAAGAGAGAAAATCTAAAATGGCAAAATTTATCTACGTTTAAGGAAGTTTCAGATAGGTAAGTCGAATTTCTATGGTCAGACTTTTACGGCCGAAAAGTGATCAGAAAGACTTCCCACTAGTATTACTAGTATATGATTTATTATAGTCGGATGTTGTCTAACCGATCCCTCTCACGTATCGAAATGTTGTACAGCTAACTCAAAGCGTTAACTAAATAACGCTAAATAACGAGTCTTATTTGACTCTCTAAACTTAAAAGTTCACGCGTTATAAAAGACTCTCAGTTTGCGTAGATCAGTTTGGAGTTGTCCTCTAACACAGATGTTCGAAGTTTAATTGATACTAACTTAACTTGATGAGTGTGATTCGAAAACAAATGATTTTTTTCCCTTGATTAGAGCTACCGTAAAAGTTCAAACATAAAAAGTTTTATTCGACTTATCTAACAGAAACTTCCTTAAGCTTCTTTTTGAATTTTGCCCTTTCCAAAGGATATCGCACAAAAAATACGCCGAATAGCTACTATAAACTCGATTAAAGACAGAGCAATTTATTAATAGGATGCATTGGTCACTATTATCAAATCTCTAAGACTTACGTTATGTTCTTTTTACTGGTAGTATATGTCTCAAACGTTTCTGAAACTTTTGTAGGCAATTTGGCATACCTAGAACAATCAGTTAATTTTGATGTTGGTATTGCTGTTGATGATGCCATATTATTTCGTTTCACTCGTCTACGACGACGTTGTTTTACTGGTGGTGTTGATTGTTGTGGAGGAGTAGCTGTTGTTGTTGTATTATTTTTTAATAGATCAGTTTTTCCAGTTGTAATTCCTGCAATCTCATTAGTGGCTGGATCCATGGAAAATGATATTGAACGAGTTGGTTGATTTGGATTTTGACTATTGGTGTTATTTTTTACTGTTGAATTGAAAACATCAACACTTTGTTCTTTTTCTGCTTGTTCATAAGCATACGTGGGAGTTGTTAATATATTTGGATCGTTTAACGCTTTCTCTATATCTAAATTTTTATTCACAAATTGTGGAGAACGATCGATATTTGTCAAATGAGTATGATGTTCATTATCGGCTGCAGCTAAAGCGTTATCTAATGCATTATCAGGATCAAGAAATGTATTGACATTTGACGGTTCTAAATGACGTTCAATATCATCGATCGGCAGTTGAGTCTAAAATTAGAAATCATCAATAAAACTATATCAATTGACTCTAAATAGAAAAATCTATCTTACATACCTTATCGTCTGCATTAATTGTTTCATCAATGAATACCGCTTCACCAGCCTCGCCCAATTGCATCCAAAGATCAACAGTTTCACCATTGATCGCTACATATACCTAAAATATAAACCATAATGCAAGATAGAGAAAAATAATTAACAATTATCTTAGTGTATCGTACCTTTTTTTGTAAACTTTGTAAAACGCCTAATTTTCCAAATCGAACATGAAATGGTGTACAACGAAATGTGCCATCTTCTTGTTTAACAACAATAATATCAATAGCACCTTAAAAAGCAAATGATTATAATATTTGAATATGATTCATAATAAAATTAAATGAAACGTACCAGTTAAAGTTGACGGATTGATATTATTATAAACAGATTTTAATGATGAAAATATTCTAGTAAACGACATCTTTTATTATAACTATGTCATATTTAAGTTTATAAAAAACAAAGAATAATTAAAACTAAAAATAGAGAAAAAAGAAAAACATATTGAGTATGTCATGTGGATATGACGAGAAAAATGTTTGCCTATCAAGTTATTCTAAGATTAGTTAATCGACAATGATATTGTAACACTTACATATAGAATAAACACAGACACATTCACGAGTACACAAAAAGAAATAATAAAACTTATTACTACATATGTTCATTTTTATTTGAGAGAAAGACAGAGGCGCCTAATACATAAAAAAAAATAAATCAAAGAAATACAATCTAAAATAGTTTAATAAAAGGTTCTTTTTTTTTTTTCTTGTACATATATAAATGGCTAAATGAACTTTATAGACATATGTAGCACCTTGTTCTTTCTTTCCTCTACTATCGATGACGATCGAACCAGTCATTTCAGGTCATAAAGAAAAGTAAAGAAGTAAAAAAATTAATATTAAATATTTTTAAGACAAAATGTTATGTTTTTTTTTCTTTTATTGTTCGCGTTTTTAAAGTTCGACGAATGATTCATATGCTTGCGTGTCAAAGAAAAAATTTATTTTTTGTTTTTCATATATATATATATGATACGTTTCATGTATTAAAGATTTTATCAATAAAGTAAAAATGGGAAATTTAAGAAAGAACTTGAGAAAAGTTCAGAGTTGACGTCAAAATGTAAATGATAAATAACAATCACTTTTTCTAATCTCAAATATATCGAATTTACTCAAATGGCTGTAATGAAACTTTAAAAATATATTATTCTATTAAAATTAAAGTGGAAAGTAGTCGATTTTTATTATTCGACCGGTACTATTAACATAATCTAGTACTGAATTTTATTAATATTAATTTCAATTAATTTCATCACGTTGATGTGTGCAGACATTTTTTTTTTCTATTGTTTTTCTTCTGTTCTAGCAAAAAAAAAATAAAACATCTTTTGCTTTTTATCATTTGTGTTATGTTATACACACACACACACGCGCGCACATACACAAACACAAAAATTAGTCACTATTAGTGACTTAGTGACTAATTTATATATGATTTTTTTTAGTACTTAAAATACTAAAAAAAATGATAAAATTGTCTAGAGGATAATATAGAAAAAGATAAAAAGCGATCTGAAATTGTATTCTACGAAATCTTTAGCAAAAAATGTTTATTTGATTATTTCTATAAGAATAAGAATTGTAACTAGTTTTTCTAATATATAATGACAATCATTAATAAATATATTTATTACACATTATAATGTAAGACACACGAATATATTGCACGGATTGGATACGAGTATATTTCTCTTTTTGACAGAAAAAACATATGAGACAATCTGTCTCAACTGATCTACAGTAATCGAAAATATTAAAAAAAAATTACATTCTTTTTTCTTCTAAATACTTCCCTTTTTTCTGTTACTCTTTTACAGATTCTCGATAAATTTTATTTTTTTGTTTTCGTGTGGTTTTACTGTTGAATGCGTGATACATCCGAGAGAAGTGATACCGATTGTATCGATGTAGCCTGAAAATCGAGGTGTGTGTGTGTGTATTCATTATTGGCATTAAGCCAATCGATCATGTGAGAAAAAAGAAAATACGAAACATTTCGTAAATAAAAAAAATAAATTTTCGACTAATATATCTGTCAATTGTAATAGCACTACTCGTTCGTTAAATTGATTCTAATTTTGACCATACGACAAAGAGCAAAAAAAAAAAGATAATTGTGAGGACTATGAACGATCTTTAATTGAGGTTATACGTCTCTTCATTTCAACATTCATTTATGAGATTGTGCAAAGACGATATTTGTTTTAAGAGGTATGTAAGAATCAAAAATCATTAGTAAGACTAATGATCTTCTTTCATGTATCAAGTCTAAAATTGAGACTATAGCTGCGTTATATATAAAAAAATAAGATGATATAAAAGATAAAACTTAGTAACAGTCATAAAACTCTTGCATAGTTTTATGTTCATATTTTCGGTTAGATTATACGCCAGAATGTAGACAGAATTCTGTTTTTTAATTAACTTTGCTATTCTAATGTTAAGACCTAAATATATGAACAGTTTAAATGAGATGATTAACAGCAATTCTAGCTATTTAGATTGGAGAAAGTCAATTCAATTAAACTTGAATGATAATTTCAAAGTGAAACTTAAGATATAGAACTACGTGTACAGAATTTACTTGATTTTTTTTTATTTTAATTAGTTGTTTTCCCTATCGGAAAGAAGAGATATATGTATTTTCACTAAATCATCTTGGCTATCGATATTGTTTTAAACGTAAAAATCAAAATGATTCAGAATATTGGGTATGTGTACAACAGAGACCATCGCAGGGCACCTTTTTCCGCCCTGCCCTGTCAGAAAGTTACTCATAAAATTTTTTTTCGCCCTGCCCTGGCTGGCTGGGTAGGACACCTTGCAGTGCAAAAGAAAGTTTTTCGCCTTAACCTAGAAGACTTTATCTTCAAGAAACCAATTAAAAATACTGGATGTGTTTCTCGTGCGTAGCAGAATCTTTTTTTTAAATTAATTGTCAATTTTAAAAAAGTTGGCTGTCATTTTTATTTTCACAGATACGAGAGATCTCAAAATTTTACTTAAAAAAAGTGAATATCTCAAAAATCAATCTCTCGCACGGTAAATCAAGAAATTTTTTGTTGCCCTGCCCTACAACAGGGTAGGGCAACAAAATATATAGCGCCCTGCCAGGCAGGACACCAGGGCAGCCCTGTCCTGCGATGGTCTCTGGTGTACAATGCAAAGTAACAGCAACAACTTATCTAGATTTAACATGGACTAATAAATGAACTGTATACCTTTTCCAAATTAATGGAAACTAAATCCCTATATATCAGACTGCTTAGTTAGAATGCATGTTTTATCTGACTATTGGAAAATATATCCATTAGCAAAAAATTCATATATCTCTTCTTTTCTGTAGGAAAAAAATAATTAATGAAAAGTAAATCCTGTAAAGCATAGAATTAACATCATCTAATAAAAACAAAATCGACTTAACATACTGTCTAAAACGTAACAAAAAAGATTTCATTTAACTGATGTTCACGCTTTTTATTTTTGATAAATTTTACTGACGACTAAACAAATCGACTGATCTACAATAATAAAGTAAACCATTATAAAACGTTTTATAGGATAAAAAAGGATAGAAAATGCAGTATTTTTGAATTGGAAAAATGTACTGAAATCTAAGAGGAGAGAAAAATTTAGTATCATCACGAAATGACATTTGTCCTTCGGCGTAAAACGCAATATTTCTTTTTTTAAACACAACATACAATCAATTTGTTCTCATGAAAAAGAAGTCCGGATTGTAATGAACAATTTCCTTTAACATATGATGAGAAACTGATTTGTTTTTCCTCAGAAGGACAAGACTGAATCATTTTCTCTGTTTGTTTTTGTTGATTTGTCCATTATTAGTTTTAGCGACTTTATTTTAGATATTCGTATTATTCAATCTAAACATTACAATAGCAACATTACATAGCAAATATAATTACATCAGTCGAATGAACGAAGTTCAGGCAACATTTTGGTCAAAAAGTTTTTAAAAATAAGAAAGAAAATCCTAAAGTAAAATTGTATACAAGAATTTTTTAATTATTTAAACGTAATAAAACAGCAGCAGCAGCAGTAAATAGAAAAAACATGAGAATAAGAAAAGAAAAGGCACATTAAAGAATGAAAGATATAATTTTGCTCTCCTAGAGAGAAGGATAAAACTTTTATCTAATCGAAGACAAAAACCAGTATTCTTAACTAATAGAGAAAAAAGAAAATTTAAAGAGATTCTTTGTACGTCCATAATTCTGTTCAAGTAAAAAAAATTGTTGTTGTGTCAATCAAGAGTTTTCTCTTAAATACACCCACGTAAAAAAAAGAAAAGTGAAGAGTTATCATTTAATCAGTTTGTAATTATTAAAAGACAAAATATTTAACCATTTAGAATAGCTCTATGATCGTTTCATTCTGTCTTACCATATCTATTTTTTTTTGTTACTAGATCAGATATTTTAAAAAAATCGTCAGAAAGAATGATATTGATATGATATCTCTTTTTAAATATATTCTCAACTAACCTTCACAGCATACTCAAGTTAAAAGTTGCTAATTGATGATTTTTTTTCTTTTTTTCTCTCTCTCTTTTTCGATTACAAACCGTATATGTACGCCTATTGTAAAAGAGACGCTGTTATACTTTTTTTCTCTTTAGTTTATAAAGTGCATTGTACATTATGCAATCAAGTAGGACTCATACAAAAAAACATTCTTAATAAATAAAATAGACGTGACGAACATACCTTATTTTCTTTGTCAATTGTATAACAAGGTTATCAGAAACCAAAAATATTAATACATTATAATGTTATTGTATGAGTATCATGACAATGATGACGAAAAAAATAAATAAATGCTAAAAATTATAATATTATAATAAAAGTTTTCCAACTTTGTATTCTAAAAGAATAAAGCTTATATCAATCTAAAAAACAAATCATACCGTTAGAATTGTTAAGCGTACTAATTCTTCTTTTCGTTCATTCGATTAAGTCATCTTCTCCTAGACAAGGATACTAGAAAAATAAAATATTTTTCAAAACAATTTACTAATATATTTTTTTTTGTAAACGATAACTATAACACATATATACATAAGTTTTCATATATAAATGTAAGATATTTAGACTTTTTGTCTTAAACTTAGCAGACGTAACAACAAATTCTATAGCCAGTAGAGATTTGATGGTAAGACATCATTCAATATAAAAATATTAATCCCTTATACGAACTTCTTTTTATTTGTAGAAGAGAAATACGATCAACAATGTAAAAAAAGTAAAAAAATAAACAACAATATATACAAAATTCAGTTGCATAGGTATGAAAGAAACGAATGGTTAATAGTCAACATCATCGAAGATATTATTCATGTATGCAACCGTCTGCATCGTCTCAACAGAAACAATTTGTTTTAGAATGTATATTAGATTTCTTAGTGCTGTATCTTATCATTTAGCATAGATCAAAAACCATCTCAAGTTTTGGAATCATAAAAGAAAAGAATCAAGGTTTAATTTTAGAGAATGCATGTATTAATATCACAGATTACAAGGGTAGTTGTTGAACATAGACAAATTGTCGTCGTTCAATAACAGAATTTTTTCTTTCCTCTTCATTTGTTGTATTTTTAAAACAATTATATTCTCTATCTAATTGTTTATCATTAAAGTTTAATATTTTAATTCGTCTAACATTTCCAATAAAATCTGTTAATAATGTCTGTCTATAGTCACGTTTTTGAAATAAATCTGTTCGCCATGTTACCGTCGATATACATAAATGTCGAGGACAACAATTAAAAAAATCTTCAATTGTTTTTAATGAATCTTGTTTTAATTTTTCTAAAAATTCTAAAACATAATAAGTAAAACGATCAATAACATAGACACCAATTTTTGGATCAACATGATGTGATAGTGAATCTTCACCACGTTTTGAACTACCAACAGCTAAAATATTTGGTGAATAAAATTTTTCAAATAATGTTGCCGCTTGACATGTATCAACAACAAAAAATAATTCATGATAACGTTTTTTACGCCACATTTGTTCCATAACATCGGCTAATTCTACTGATGATATTTCTTCATTATCTTGAAATTTTAAAAAACCATCTCCACCATGACCAGTCATATAAATAAAGATATTCGATGTTTCGTCGCTAAATAAACAAAAAAAGAATAAAATTTATAATAAAAAACAAAAAAAACTTGATCAACCTCTACCTTAATAAACGTTTTGTCGCTGGTGTCACTTCTGGTAAACGATTGGTAAGTATTCGTACAAAATTTTCTACTGTTACATCGTAGCCACGATAATCTACTTCTACATCATCTCCATAAACATTAATTTGTTCGTCAATATTGTTAAATATCATTGCTGGACGAGGATTTCGAGCATTACATGCCATATCATCGGCTAACATTAATATTATATTTGAATCAGGTATTCCAAGGCGTTTAACACTACGATAAATCGATAATACATTGGCTATATGACGATAATTGAACCAAAAACGAGATGTATCAACTAAAATGGCCCAATTATTTGTATGACGAACTGAAGACGATGAAAAACGTTCAAATGTATCAGACACGGATGATGAAACAAAGCCAATAAAAATTAGAAAAACAAAGTATAAGAAATACATCTAAAAATGGAAATAAATTACATAAAAAGTTTGTTTTATAGACTACAATCAAAAAGGTGTAAAAAAACTAATTGATTACACGACATTCGAATGTAGTTTTAACAGAATTATAGGTAACATTACTATAATTTCTGCGTTCTAATTCTTTGTTTTCATTTTACATCAATTGTAAATAACAAAATAACGAAGATAAAATACATCTGTCGAGGTATTCTTGATGAGTTTTGTTCTCCAACTGAATCCATGTTCAAAAAGCTAAGTGAAGTATGCCTTGCATTATGAATAAGATAAAATGCAAGAGTAAACGGCTTTAGTGTAAACGACCATTCAGAACCGTAACAGAATTTTTCCTCGAACGAAGGCACCACCATAGGAAGAAAAATGATTTGCGTCCTGGAACTACTCCAGGATTTTTTTCATTCTCTTCCTGCCGTTCGACCTGTAATCACCATGTCACACAAATGAAACCAACGCAAAAACCTCACAACATCAGATAGCAAAAAGAGAACTAATCAAGTAACTGAATAAAAGAAAGTTTACAAATATCGTTTCAATTCGTACAAATGTTGAATTTTTTGTAATCATATATCACTCACTTAGTTTTGTCTTTCAAGTCGTGGGTGCTGTTCAACAAGTAATCAGTTTCCCAAATTACTATTTTAATGCTACTACTTCTATAAAATCAGCGTACAGTTGTTAAAAAATTCATTTTTCAGAAATTAAAAGTCTCTATCGTCTTGTGAACAATGAAATATACTGTTTATAATAAAAATTCTTTTACTATATTTTTTAGATTCAGGCCATATTTTTATTCTATAATCCATTGATAATTTTTCAAATTATAACTTTATTTCAGTTCAATCTTCAACTAGTCGATATCCCAATATTTTTATCCGTTTTACTCATTTCGAGATGGATTAAAGGAGTAGCATAGCAATCTATACACATGAGGTAAAAATTATGATCTTTGACGTGTGATAACACTTTCCATTTTAGTTCACGAGTGAAAAAATTTACGAATATAAAATAGGCCATGTGAAAATTTTATACATTTCTGCCTGTAGATGTACACACACACACATATATACATATTTTACAATTGCCTATAGATTGAAAAAACTCTTGAGAATTAAAATATGTCGGCGTTGAGAATTTTTCTGGATATTATAGTCAATCTACTTTAATCAACAATAGTTTTGTCCATTATTACTTTCTTGTATCATATTTCTATTGTAACCAATCATAACTAGAACTTGACTCGCACGATATCACTATTGGTGCTTAGCTAACGGTGTTAGATATTTACATGAATAACTTAATTCAATGTTGTCTCATTTTATTGAATGTAAACGTTCATATCTACATACATATGAATATAAATACGACGAAGACCATATTCTCCATGACTAATTCTTGTAATATTGAATAATGATTAATGAATCACCCTCATCATCATTTTTCTGTTTTCATGCTTGTTTACCAAAAATATAAATATAACTGTTATAAGTTGATAGTGATGATATTTGTCCATTTACAAATTAATTTCAATCAACTTCATTTCAGTCATTATATAGGTTATGAGATTTTACAACAATAAACATTCAAAAGCAGACACGATTAATAATGTTATGTACGACAACCACCAAATATAGTAAGTGTAACACCATATTTATGATCCGATTATATCATATATACTTTCTTATCATATAATGTTAAATAATGATGGTTATACGTCGATGTGTCATTGCTAAGAAAATGTCTCATCCTATTATTCCAGTCGAATTGTCTTGATCGATTGTGGATGATTCAACTTTTCGAGGGTGATGAACAAACATTATTTATTCGACTTCTAAATTTCCACCTGGTGAGTGATGAGATTTCTTTTTTACATCAAATATTTAACAATAACATGAAAGCCGTTGATGCTTCAGTATTCACCAGTAAAAGATAAAGATTTTTCCATAAAAGTTCACACAAATATTGCTAAAGGAAAAGGTTAACATTTCCATTCAGTTCTGTGACTAATAAACCAAAAACACGAATGTAAAAGCAATTAAATGGCCTATTGATTGTGTTTAAGTTATAGCATCGTATGATCCAGAAGAAAGAGAAGTAGTTATGCCTTCATAGCCAGATATCTCAGCTAATAATTTTTTTTGTCAATTCTAATTAGAATAAACATTTTGTATAATGAACGCCTTCTGGATTAGATTATGATTAACATAATGTTTGCAGCAAAACGTAGTCGAGTAAAATTGGCTCTCAACTTTTATTAGAGTTCATTCTAAAAACAGAAAGAGTATACTAAAGATTTAATTGTAATTAACAAAAGAAGGGTAGAAGCTATTGCACATCATTTTAAAAACGATGTGCTATAAACTGTTTTTGTTCAGTTTATAAATTCCATCATGACAGTTTTATATAGGCACGCTTTTGTCTCACAAAATTGTTTTTTGATCGCGTTCTTTTAACTGTTATCGTAAAAGCAAACAATCAGATGACTAGATGACGTATAGATAAGACTTCGCTCGCAAAATGGCTCTATCCTTTCTAACAAAAAGCACACAATATATTCACCCTTTTTCTAAAAGTCAAGCTATGCTCCCGTGTTTAGTTGATTCGATAAAATAAGAACGACGCAAATTTCACAACAAAGTACATAAATGGACGCCTTTTTTGAGCAACGTATATGTTCAAATCTGCTCGTATATATACAATACTTTTAAACCGGATTTAATTCGAATCTTTTTCGTCCTACCGCATGTGAACGTACACAGCTTGTAAACTGGACTTTAGAACTTAATTTATAGCTCGGCGAACTTGGCTAGTTGACCTAGCTCTATAAGCTGGATCGGTCAAGCACATCCTGCTAAAACCTTACGAATCAGGTGTTAGCACCAGACCCTAACGCATTAATACAAATTTATTACTTTTTTTCTCCTATCCGCAGTTAGAAACTTTCTAACTGCGGATAGGAGAAAAAAAGAAGCCATGTTGTGCTATTATTACTTTCTATAGAAAGTAATAATAGCACAACATGGCTTCAAGAAAATTTTCTGATTATCTTTTTTATTTTCGACAAAGACGATAAAAAACACTTTCTACCCGTTCAAAGCGTCAAATCAAATTAATTGTTTCACAATTATGAGCAATTCATGACTCCTCAAGAAAACACGCTCAGTTTCATGGTAATAACAGCAGTTAAAAGTTAAAAGTTACTTGCCAATAGCAGGTAACTTCACCATTGGTCGAAAACTAGCTGCCAAGAGATAAAATGTGCAAAAGCCCCAATATGGCTGCTCTAACCAATAAAAGAGTGTGCCGACGTCCATATATTCTCTTTTTTATACGTTACATTAACGGAAAGATAAAAACAAGGTAACATAACGCTCGTCTGCACTCGCTCTGTCCTTTGCCTTTAGGAACTTATATCTACGAACGACTTTACATGACTTTGAATCCAACACAATGATCTTAGGTCGGTGTTCGCTAGGAGACTATCTAAAATAATCTTGTGAATTTTTCTCTGATTTGATGTGTAAGATTTATATTCGTAATCTAATATAAATCTAAAACGTTTCCTCGAAACCCTCCAAAGATTCCCTCCCTAGGTCTAAACATATTTCTACATTCAAGAAAATGCTCACGCCTCTCTTCAATCGCACAGTGAGGATAGGTGCGAAATGTTATCAACTCTGATTCCATGGGAAAAGCGCCCAATGCAATATGAAGCTAAAAAGTTTTCTGGACACCGTCTGAAGATCACAAGCGGGCTCGAAGTATTTCTGATGGATTCGCTACGGTACATCTTTATTCTGCACGTTTTATCATCCGTAGAGAACTTTTTTTGTTACAATTTAGAGTGATTCCAGGCGACATCTGTCTCCAGACTACAGGAAAAGTTTGCTTAGCTTTTCTTTTCTCTGCATCAGTAGATATTTCAGGTCATCTCTCTTGAATATTTTTCTCTCTCGTAGTTAAAAACATCCTGTATTTTGCTCCCTTATGATTGGCTAATCCACGGAATCTCTGACAGGCATTTGGCATTTTTCCGTATTTTGCGCACACGCAACAGCAGACAACCATTTTGTAAGTAAGACCTTTGCTTAGGCTAAAGTCAAAGGGAATAAACGTAATAATAAAACCGAGAATTGTCGAGAGATATATTGAATATTCGTAGTTACAGAGAGAAAAGTTAAAGCTAAGAGCAAAAGATAAATTTGCCGAATGCCAGATATAAAACAGAAGGTATATATATCTAATCGAATGTATAGACATTGGTCGAGTTATTATTCAGCGAAAAGAGAGAAAGGATAGACTTAAATATTATAATCGATGAGCATTTTTGATAGGTAACTTCTAGTTGCGGTAAAACAAAAGCGTGAATCGAAAGTTTGTATTACATTACATTTTAACATGGAGGTGGTACTTTAGTATACTTTTACTATAGTATTATGCAAATTGAAGTTGCTACATTTTTACTTTGCAATCGCTATACTTTAAGTGTAAGACGATATCATAGTTTTACCCAATAGTTTTGGGCGTAATAATCTTTTTTATTTTATTTTGATGAAAATGGATTTTTCAAGTGAAAACCATTTTTCTCTCGCTAGACCCACCAGTCATTAAAAGAAGATGAGTTTCTCACTTAAAATTGAGCATTCAGCATATTTCTTGTTATTTTTCCTACAGTGTCTGCGTATCTCTTGCTTGCCGACGCAAGCTGGGTGCGCTGAGTCGTGTATTCGGATTAGCTCCATCAGAAGTTCGGCGTCGAATTTATCTTTCTTCTATTCTTCCTAAACTAGACTATTGTTGCGCCTTGTATGA